GCGTGAATTTTTGGTTCCAGTGCCGCTGGTGGTGGTGAGCAGAGTAATATTACCCAGGCCTTCACTGAAATGAGGGAGGTACTTGGATGCATGATGTTGCCTTCGGACAAGTGAACTGCCTGATGTCAAAAAGCGATCTCTTCAAAGCCTTTGCCTCATGTCAGCGAGTCCAATGCCATTTATTTCCTGCTTTTAAATTAGAAGAAATCGAAGAAAGAACTTGTTACGTATTATTTTTTGTTTCGAAGTTATTCACTTTATAGTTCTGTTCTAGAAATCTAAAATATATGAAAAGACTACACATGTTATGGCGTCATCTTTTTGGTTGGCTACATGTATGGAGGTAGAGAAGGATGTACCTGTAATCCAGCATTGAGCTTACATATAGTACCGATCGCAAGCCACACTCCTCCCCCCTCTCCTCTCCGCCCCTTACTCGGCCTTTCCCCTGCCGCAGTGCTCCAATGATATACGAGACGTCAAAAGATACAAATTTTTGATTAAAAAAATACTGGCAGCAGTAGAGAGAGATTTCCATATAGCACTAGCTGTCGCATTACAGTTAATTGCTTCTACTTTATATTTGACAAACCAAATTTTCCCTCAATTATATATTATCCGCTGCTTTCGTATCGTAATTAATTGCTTTTACCTTTACGTGATTCTAGACTGAGGGTGGACCTGTCTTTTGTTTGTGAGGAGGTCACATTATAATTAATTGCTTTTACTCAGTATTTCGCCACTCACTTGTTTCTCCAATGATTTGTTACCCTAGTCACATTATAATTGCTTCTTTTAATTAATTGTTGAGTATTTTACATATCTACAGCATTCACGTAAGCCTGTAACATGGCAAATTATTTTTGGGGAAAAGCGATTTCTAGAGCCATCTGAGCTACAAGGTTGGAATTTTCTGAGGATATGAAGATAAGTGACTAAAAAATGGTCTTGGCTTCGAGGCGTCTTTTTTATGCATTTTCTATATCTATGCAATGCAAAAACGCACATTGTCAAGGGGTTGTCTGTGTGCCCGTGTGTGCGTCTTTACCGAGTTTTCATCTGGAAATCTACGGCAGCTACAAGGCTGAAACTATGGCGTCTTAATCCACACATGCGTACGAGCCCTTGTTCTCGAAATGGGCATTCATGTCAGTGTGGTTCTCACAAACAAGTAGGTGAAAGTTTTTTGGTGGGAAGACGATTTCAGTAACGACGTAAGCTAGAAAGCTGAAACTTCGAGATGTTCCTTCGTTAATTCCAACCCAAAGATTTCAAATTTGATCTTCACGAGCCTCTGGGTCTCACGCACGTACACGTCAAAGCATAAACTGACATTGCGCCAACTCCAGATTTAGGCTGACCGAAAAGTTCTAGAGAGCTGTAATTTTGTAGCGTTACTTGCCACCCACTGATATGTCCGTGAAAGTATATTGAAATTTCCAGCCTTTCTGCATAACATTACGGAAATGTAAAATTTTAGGCGGTTTTTTAGCTTTGGAATCGAAACAACCAGAAAGCTGAAGCTTTCTGAGCATGGTTGGTAGCAGCTTTGGCTTGGTGGATGTGAAAACAACTCTCACGTTTCTTTCGTGTCTCACATACATGTCATGTACGATCACGCGAAGTTTGACATAACTCTGCAACCAAAGCAGCTAGAGCGCTGAAATCTCCTGAGAATGGCCACGGCCATGTTTGGTTGATCGCGCATAAAAAGAGCCTTCAAGTTTCCCCTCACATATGAACACATGGAATTTGACGTAACTTCACAACTAGGGCACCGGGAGTGTTGAATTTTTTGAACAGCGATTGGAAGTGACTGTAATAATTCCTGACACTGGTGATGGCCAGTTTCAATTCTTCAGCTAGAAGCATTTACCGGGAAAAACAGTGCCGCCAGTAGCAGACTTGTGGGGAACTGTACAAAAAACGCATCTTGGCACCGCCAGTCGGTGCGCTGGCTAATTACTTCTTATTATTTACTCAATAAATGGTATGTTGCTAATGCCACCTCCCATTTGCTGATGCAGGGTTTTACGAACATTTTTTGAAACACTGGTACTGGTGCTTGGTGACCCGTAATAGACATGTACGTCTAAATTTCATGTATGAGCAGGTAACACTTCCGGTTGGATCACCGTAACATCCATTTAACTTACGAATCAGACTCCCTAGGCAACTGCGGTTCTATGAAGATATGTGTTATTCATGTTCGAACCCGTATGCTTAAAACTGGCATCTCGGCGTATGCCTTGTGTCTGGATATCAAATTTTGCTTTTCTTTCCTCCTGAACATTTGCTAGGATGAACTTTCACGTGGTAAATACTGGCCTCATTTTGGTACCAAACGTATTAGTCCTCGTACATGCCCTTCCCTCGCAACTACGCTGGACAGATTTCAGCTACCAAATTCAGCTAGCAGAAAGATTTGTTTGGTGGGCTAGACAGTTGCTTCGCACTTACTTGCGCAGGAGACATGACAGTGGCAGAATATTCAATACTATTTATAAGTTTGCCTGTAAGAATTGTGCCATGCTTAGCAAATTTGTGAATGTTATACTGCGTTTTGCCCATTGTGCCCATAATAGCTTTTCTTCTGAACTTTACCACTAAATTTCAGAAATAT